GCGGTGCCGGGTTTTGAAAAGGTGTCATTGGTGGATACAAAGAGTGAGAAGTACTCGGCCTATTCGATTCAGAAAATGTTGCAGATAAAAGGATTGCCCTCACCTCAAACGGAGCAAATTCACGTGCTGGTGGTGGTTCCGAAGGATGAAAACGACCGCTCCGCAGCCATGGCTCTCGGCGTGGCACCCTCTTTGCCACCAACTACAATTCATCGACATCCCGAACGTCTTAAGCGATGGGCTGCGATTAACGAAATGATTCGACAGAAGAATCAAGAAGGAAACGAGAAGACGAGCACTCGAGACACCAACAAGAAGCGAAAGAACAGAGATATCGATAGCTCGATGCCGTATTCAAGCCTGTCGTGGACCGATCTTGAACCGATTCTGTCAATGGAGGACTTTAATCTCGAAGCGAGTGCTGTTCCTCAAAAAGTTGTGGAAGAGCTACGTGATCGGCTTATGCAAGTACGTAAACTGTATGGGGATGTTTACTCGGGAAAGGAAGCCAAGCGTCAAGTCTTTATTATGGCTATTATTGAAGCTGTATGCCTTATGCTTGGTGATGCCACGATTCTTGTTGAAGAGGATGTGAAAGGAAAGAACGTACATGTGCACGGTCGCTTCGAGTTTGTGCTGAAGCGTGGCAAGAAGCGTGTATCCATCGTCGAAGCAAAACGCGATGATATCCCGCAAGGTATTGCCCAGAATGTGGCCGGCCTCGAAGCTTTGTCTGACGTGGAGGGATTAGAGCGGACACTTGGTATTGTTACCAACTATCTGGAGTGGGTATTCATCAGCGATGACGATGAGAAAATTCGACGGATGAATACAACGCTCAAAGTCTATGGAGCGGTGCCTTCAACTAAAGAACTTAGGGAAATTGTCGGCATGATTTGTGGTTTGCTCGCGAATAGCACTTAATAGTCTCGCAATTACAATATTTTTTACGAATGCCATTCCGTGTTGGAAAGTTGCTTTCATCAGTTTTATTAGACCCGGCCCACTGCAAGTGCTTGCAGTTAACATCGAAGCACAGCACAAAATAATTTTTATTCCTGATAAATAAAAAGTTTGTTATATAGTTAGAGATGACATACTCACCCGAGCAATACCAAGCTAACAAGGAGCGCATTAATGCAGCGCAGAAGCGCTACTACCAGCGCACACGCGACGCACGCTTGTCGTATCAAAAAAGCTACGACGACAAGAATAGAGACCAGATTCGAGCTCGTAAGCGTAAGCCGAGAACCGAACTTAACGACACAGAAAGCGAACTTAATGGTGAAACCGAACTTAACTAACTAGTTAATTTTTTTTCCCTGATTAAAAGTCAAACCCAATATAGTCAATGACTGACGCACTTCAAATGACTGGCTTAAAACCTCCAACAAGGCATAAACCAAATATTTAAATTAATTAATCTCAGAATATTTTGTAAATGACTAAGATATAAAGTCGATCCTGATACAAGATCAAAATATTATAAAGTCATATCTACGAAGAA